TGGACAGCCACACACAAAAGAATGATGGTAGATCATTATCTCACGCCATAGACAAAAATAAACTCAAAATGGATCAAAGACTTGAAGATAAGTACTGAAAGCATAAAACTCCTTGAAGATAATACAGGTAGTACACTCTGTGACATCAAACTAAAAAGAATCCTTTCAAATTTACCATGTCTTCTTAGACAAGGGAAACAAAAGAAAAAATAAACACGTGGGACTTCATCAGACTAAAGAGCCTCTGCAAGGCAAAAGAAACTAGAATCAAAACAAAGAGACAACCCACCAATTTGGAGAAAATACTTGCAAATCATATAGCTGACAAGGGGTTAATCTCCATAATAAATAAGGAACTCACACAACTGAACAACAAAAAAACAAACAACTCAATCAAAATATGGGCAGAGGATATGAACATTTCTCCAAAGAAGATATACAGATGGCCAATAAACACATGAAAAGATGCTCATCATCACTGATCATCAGGGAAATGCAAATCAAAACTACACTGAGATACCACCTCACACCTGTTAAAATGGCTATAATCACTAAGACAAGAAATAACAAATGCTGGAGAGGATGTGGAGAAAAGGGAACCCTCACACACTGCTGGTGGGAATGCAAACTGGTGCAGCCACTATGGAAAACAGTATGGAGATTCCTCAAAAAACTAAAAATAGAACTACCATATGACCCAGTTATCCCACTACTGGGTATCTGCCCAAACAACTTGAAATCAACAATCCAAAGTAACATATGTACCCCTATGTTCATAGCAGCACTATTCACAATAGCCAAGACATGGAAACAATGCAAGTGCCCACCGACTGATGACTGGATAAAGAAGATGTGGTATATATATACAATGGAATACTACTCAGCCATAAAAAAAAGACAAATTCATCCCATTTGCAACAACACGGAAGGACCTGGAGGGTATTATGCTAAGTGAAATAAGCCAGACTGAGAAAGACAAACACCAGATGATTTCACTCATATGTGGAATATAAACAAACACATGGACAAAGAAAACAGTTCAGGGGCCGGCCGGTGGCACAGCAGTTAAGTGTGCACATTCTGCTTTGGTGGCCAGGGGTTCGCCGGTTTGGATTTCAGGTGTGGACATGGCACTGCTTGGCAAGCCATGCTGTGGTAGGGATCCCACATATAAGATAGAGGAAGATGGGCACAGATGTTAGCTCAGGGCCAGTCTTCCTCAGCAAAAAGAGGAGGATTGGCAGCAGATGTCAGCTCAGGCCTAATCTTCCTCAAAAAAAAAAGAAAAGAAAACAGTTCAGTGGTTACTAGAGGAAGAGGGTTGGGCACAGGGCGTGAAGGGGAGCACTTACATGGTGACAGTTAAGAAATATGTACAACTGAAATCTCACATTGATGTAAACTATTATGAACTCAGTTAAAGTAAAAAAAAATAAAATATAAAAAAAATTGATGAAAAAAATATATATGAAACACTGAAAACCACTGTGCAAGACCCACAGACTGAAAAGTACAAAACGTTGCTCAGAGAAATGAAAGAAAACCTAAATAAACGGAGATAGATACTATGTTCACGGGTTAGAAGACAATATTGTTACGATGTCAGTTCTCCCCAAAGCCGTCTAGAGTCAATGTGATCCCAATCAAACATTAAAAATAACTCTCACTAATATCCACAAGCAGATAAAACAAGATACAGCTCCAAGAAGCCAGAAAGAAACCCATTAAAAAGGAAAATGAAGAGAAGGATGTTGGAGCTCCCCGGGACCACCTGCAGTTTCGGTGGTTCACCAGGAGCCCTCCCATGAGTCCGCACATAGTTGTATCATGACAAAGATTTATGACAGTGAGAGGACACAAAGAAAATCAGCAAGAGCAAAAGATACCCAGGTCAACGTCCAGAGGAAACGGGGTAGAAGTTTCCATGAGTCCTCTCCCCGTGATGTCACAGAGGACGTGCTTAAACTCCCCAGCAATGAGTTGTGATAACACACACAAAGTATTGTGTTCAGGCAAGGTATGTGCATGCGAACCTCAATAAAATTAAAACTAAAAACACCCAATCAAACACAAAAAGTAACTGAGATTGAATTCATTTTAAATAAAAAGCAACCCGTCTTCAGAAAATGCATCAAATGTGGTAACATGTGTCCTAACAGGGCTCATCAACAATAAGCCCATTCCTGGACTTGACTAGAACAATGCAAGTGACCGACACTGAGAAGAGAGAGAGCAAAGAGGCAAATAATGGCCTTGGAAGGTGATCCTCCCCAGAGTCTGGTGGCCTCCTCCCTCCATCCAGGGCAGCCAGGGGAAGAGGGGCCCTTCCATAGAGGGTCACAAACAGATAGTGTGAGCCCACAACAAATAATTCCTGGAATGAGGCCTTGTCACTGGAATAGAGGCAGCAGGTTTGGGGTTAACGGTTCTGTTTTTAGAAGGCCAGTTCTCACTGGGACTGTGATTAGGCCGCTTCCAAAATCTCCTATCCCCTCCCTCCCCTGTTCCCATTTCTGCCCCCTGCCCCACGGTTACCCATGACTGCACCTCCCCCTCACTTCCCAACATCACCATCTCTTGCCTTGACTATCCCAACAGCTCCTAACAGTCTCCCTGACCCAGCAGGCAGAAAGAGCCTTTAAAAATAGAACTGCAGAGCATGTTACTCCCTAGCCTAGCTTAAACCCCTTCAAAGCTTTTGGACTAAAATCTAAACTGCTCATGGTGACCTTCAAGGCCCCAGCAGATCTGGCCGATGCCCCACTCTGCCATCGCTCGGGAAGCTCCCACCACACAGGCCTCCGAGTCTGTTCCTTGAGTTTGCCAAGCTCTTCCCACCTCGGGGCCCTTGCACTATTGGCTCTTCCACCTGGGGTCTCTTCCTTGGTGTCCTTGCACCCATCCTTCAGGTCTCAGACCCCTGAGGCTGCACCTCCTTCCACACTACCTCACAGAGTCCCCCTGCCCCACTTCCCCTCTGTCACAGCTCCCTGTGTTTCTACCCGACAGCACTTCATCCAGTCTGAAATCACACTGCCAATCGGCCTGCTCCTGCATGGAGCAAGACTTTATTTTCTTGCTCATCATGGCACCCCCAGGACCCAGAACAACACTCGTCTCACTAGAAGCTTTCTCGAGTATTTGTGGGTTGAATGAATAAATGAGGAAAGACATTAGTATTTACTATGCAGCTACCATGGGCTGAGCATTATGCATACATCATGATGCTGAACCCTCATAGCTCCGGGAGCTGCATATCAGTTTACAGAGATTGAAGCTGCGGTCGGAAGAAAAGCTGAGGCCAGAAGCAGAAAGAGTTAGCCTGAGATCACATAGCTGGTAAACGGTTAGACTTGAAACCTTCAGAGCTAAGATTTAAAACTGGTTTAGTCTGATGCCAAAGTCCACCTTTTTCTCTACTGTACCCTGCAGCTGGGAAGAGAGCAACAAACAGTCTATGTGGTGGGCACGGGTGTGGAAAGGATGCTGGCAGTGATGGAAAAGAAAGAAGTTCTGACTGTCTTTTTTCAAATGAAAGAAAGAAAAAGAGAGAGAAGGAAGGAAGGAAATAGCGTGAATGGGAGAATGAAGGTTGAGAGTAAAGCAAGTTTTTAAAAAAGATTACAACTGTGCATTTTTTATATTTCAACATGCTTCACATTCTCTATGTAACTTTGACTTCTTCCTTTGTCTCACCTGCTTCGCATCTCCTTGTCATTGATACCTACACACATTTACCTGGTGTTATACGCTTAGTTTCTTCTATTCCTGCTCACAAATCCACAAAACATTCCCTCAGTTCTCCTTGTCCTTGCATCAGACACAACTGTAAACAAGCCCTACGCCCTCTGCCTGCTAACAGACACGGCCACTTCCCAAGGTGCTAGCTTTGCTGCTGTGCATTTATTTACAACAACCATGCAACTACTCATACCTCCATCCTCTCTTTGCTCTTCACTTTCAGTCAAGGTGAGTCTGCTGATTCTCCCTCCATATCAGCTTTCACACACACTCTCTCTCTCACACACACACACACCCCCCACTCCTCTTTTGCTGGCCACCTCCAACGTCTTTCACCTCATCATTTCATGCCTAGATGGCTAGTACAACTATTTCCCCCAACTGATTCTTTACACAGCTGTTGAAATAATCTTCAAAATCTCCCTCTCATTTCTTACAGATAAAGGTACACAGGTCAAGACAACTCTCTTTTATGCCTAGTTGATCGAGGAGGCTTAAGACACTCGAGTCCCAGGTAAGGCACCACCCTGCTTGTACCTACATCTGGACTCCCCCAACATGACTTTAAATCCCACAGTCTACCAGAAGCAAGACATCTAAACTACTGCTCTAGCAGAGTTCTTTTCTATGAAAGGGGAATGCAATCTAACCTTGCAGAGGAGAACATTCAAAACCCATTACGACAATGAAGGCTCAACAGACCATTAAGAAAAAGACGGTTGATGCAATGCCAACTTACAAAATGTTTTGCACTTAAGAAAGATTTCACATCTGATGTCCATTTCTTTAGGGCTGAAACAAATTACTAAGAGAGGTTCCATGGCAAACTTGTTTAAAAATATAAACATAAACATGAGGCCTTATCTTTTTATCTTGACTTGAGAACTCTAAAGACTCTGGTCTTCAACTTTTTTGGGTTTTCATTGTTAAGAATGCTGACACTTGACATGAAAATCCAGCATCTCTTGGCTTACAAAGAGCCCTCTTGAAGATATTACCTCAGTGGATTGTCATAGGAACCTGTGTCAGACCGGAGGTTTCATTCCCATTTTACAGCTGGAGAAACCGTGGTTCTTGTCTAAACTCTTAAGGTTGGATGGCCACTGGGACCAAAACCTTGTCCAGCCTTCCTCCAGTCTTCTAAAGCTTCCATTAAAGCCGAGTGCATTTCATCTATTTCATTTGTAAAACCTCTACCCACGGCCTTGTTCTACTTTTAGTAGATGGGCTACCCCAATAAGGAAAAAATTCTCACTTACTTCAAAAGTACTAACTTCAAGATCTTCGAATTTTCCTGAAAGGGACATTCCTGCACAGTTTACAAGCATGTCCACAGGGCCCAGTTTCTCCTGTGCCTGAAAAAGTTTATTAGAACAGGCATTAAGAAAGACAAAAGAAGAATCACTTAATAGCAAATGAAAGCCAATAAATACCATCTATGAAACGATTAAACCTAGAGGGGAGATTCACCAATTCTAAGCTACACACCCAAAACGGAAAGAACCAATTGCAAGGCAAGTGAATTAAGTCCAATTAGCCCAACCTCTTACTTGTTTTATGACATTCTCTACTTGGCTGTAGTCTTGAGACACGTCGACAGATATACAAAGTACCACCTGTTAGAGAGAGAAAAGTACGATCAAAGCTACGCAGGTGTCTGAAACTATTTTTAAAGGATTTTTTTTTAAAAGGCAATTCTTTCCAGTAGATAAGGAGCCCAATTTTGGATGTACAGATGGCAGTGTTTGAAATCTGCTGACAATGCAATTAGTAGAGCCTAATTTTCTTGGCAGTTTTCACAGAAAACTCTTTCGAGAAAACTCAAAAGAATGTTTTAAGAAATGCTGGTCAAAGGGTACCGCCTTTCAGGTATAAGATGAACAAGTTCTGAGGATTTAACGCGCAGGATGGTGACTGTTGTTATTAACACTGTATTGTATGCTTGAAATTTGCTAAGGGAGTAGATTTTAAGCACTCTCACCACACATACAAGAAAATGATAGCTATGGGAGGTGATCTGATTTACAATTTGATGGTGGTAATCATTTCACAGCGTAAACATATTAAATCATTACGTTGAACACCTTAAATATCTATAATTTTTATTTGTTACTTATTCCTCAATAAAGCTGGAAATAGAAAAAAGATGCATAAAAAGGCTCCTCTTGAAATGCCACTAATCTCGAGTGACAGAAAGCAGGTGAGAGATCACCCACAGCCAGGACTGGAGGGAGGAATGGAGCGTAAGGGGCAGAGGGAAACTCCGGGGGATGGAAACGGTCAGTATCCGCATGGTGGTGGGCTCACACGTGTCTACGGCTGTCAAAAGCCATTGAACTGTACTCTTCAAATGCGGTGGTTTACTGTACGTAAGTTACATCTCGAGTTGTTAAAAAGAATACATAAATTACATAACATAAATTGGACATAAATTATATCTCAAGTTGTTAATATTGTGAGTTGTTAAAAGAATAAAAATAAATCTAATAACTGTTTACAAAATACTCCCTGTGGAGCAGCATCAGAGCCATGACTGCCCTATTGGGATCCTGCATCAGCAGGTGGAACAGAGATAAGCCAACAACACCCACTCCCAGAGCCACCTGAGCTCAGGCCCCTGCTTGGAGGCTGAACCAGGTGACATTATCTTACAAGGCCAAGGGTCCATCAGGGCCTGTGGGAACTGAGCTGGGAATCAAGTCACATTTGGTTCACTCTGAGGTTTGCTTAAGATCCCTGACTCTGGTTGACTGACCACTCACAAATTCTCTAGACAAGGGGTCACCAAGCTGAGCCCCAGAGTCCACCAAGTACAAACTCGGCCATGCACAGGGGCTTGCAGCACAGAGGGATGGAGGCAAGGGCTCAGCCTGTGCTTTCCATGGAAAACAATTCTGAAGGGAGGGAGGGAGGGAGGGAGGGAGGAAAGGAGGAAGGGAGGAAGATAGGGAGATAGGGAGGGAGGGAGGGAGATAGCGAGGGAGGGAGGGAGATAGCGAGGGAGGGAGGGAGATAGCGAGGGAGGGAGCTAGGGAGGGAGGGAGATAGGGAGGGAGGAAGGGAGGGAGGGAGAGAGGAAGGAGGGAAGGGAGGGAGGGAGAGAGGAAGGAGGGAAGGGAAGAAGGGAAGGAGGGAAGAAGGGAGGGGGGTGAGGGAGGGAGGGAGGGAGAAAAGGGGAAAAAGCACATATTTTGGTGCTTACTTTGATAGAAACTTATGAAATAGAAGTTAACACAATAGGGACAAATAATGAGTTATTGTATTAATTTTCCTCTTAAGGTAATGCTTTCAAAGCAGAGCTTAGGCCTCTGACATAGGAATGTTCCATGTTCCAGTGGGGGTCACTGAGAGAAGCGGAAAGGTATTCTCGATTTCTCAAGTCTTTCCATGAATTCTTCCCTGTTGTGTCTGGCTGCCGAGCTGAGGGGCAGACAGAACGTGCGTGTACAGGAGGGCACACACCCACATCAACAACATGCAGCCAAAGGAAGCTGCGAGTCCAGGGCAGCGTGGTGTGGGGGAACGAACAGGCCTGGCCCCTGGGAAGCTTTGTTCCAGGCCTGTCCCTTCATTAACTAGCTGAGCAGCACCTGAGAAGCTGCAGCGACCTCACGTGTACAATAAGGGTGTCAGAAGCTAGTGCTGACTGAGACCTCATCCAGCTCGAAGAAGCTACCATGTGAAAAACGAAGCTGAAACACTGGAGGCCAAAGGGTTGAATAAAAAGAGACCTACTGCCTTAGCATTTCTTCCATCAGGCCGGAAGTTGCACTTCATGCAAGGAACCCCATCCAAACGACCTAAATTCCTGAGGAAGGGAAACAGCCCTCTTCACAATCATAACTGGGAGCATTCCAGAGCAGAGGGGTAGATTTTACCCCAAATCATCACGAAGGAAGTATTTTTTTAAAAAGAGAGTAGGAATCACAGGATTCATTTTTTAACATGCCTGTTTGTACAATGTTAGATCATTCACCATGAATAAAATCTACACCACAGATAAGTGAAACTTCAAAAAAAAAGTTAACAAATTAGTACCAAGAAAAAAAGCGCCCACAGGGGAATGCTCATGCTAAGTGGTTGAGCAACAAGCCCATTCTAGGCTCAGCGCAGGATGGAGCTCCTTCCTGCCAGCCCCTGCCCTGAGCATCTTCCTTTCCCTTCAACTCTCCACACGACCGAAAGTCTTTCTGATGGATGAAGACGGGGCAGGAGTAACGATGAAGAGGTCCAGAGCCGAGAGACGGTGCTGGCAGCAGGCAAGACGGGCCCTCAGCCATGAGCATTCCAGCTCACGGTTTTAGATGAGACTTCCTTCTCTGCCAGAAGTTACATGAATGTGCAAAAGAAAAATGGGGACATTTGATGAGCCGGAAGCTTTCCAATGTTTGTGGGCTTTAGGGAAAGGGGTACAGGGAGAGGCCACGGTACTACAGAAAAACTCACATATGTGCACAAGGAGATGTGGACGAGGATTTCTACCTGCAGCCTAGCATGCAATAGTAAAAAAAAAAAAAAGCAAACAGCCCAACAACAGGGAACTGATTAAATAAACGTTGGTGTACTCAATGCTATGCTGCAACAAATGAGGCAGATTTATTTTTATTGATATGGAAAGATCTCTAACATATCCTGGAGAAAAAAACAGGCAACTAAAGCTATAATGAAATACTACTTAAAACCCAGGAAAAAAGCAAAAATTAGAAAGGCTGCCAATACCAAGTGTTGGCAAGGATGTGGGGCAACAGGAGCCACCAACCACTACTGGGGGAGTGTAACCGCTGTGGTGAAGTTGAAGATACACGTACAGTCAACTCAGCAATTCCATTTTGAGGTATATTCCATGTTGCCCATGTGCACAAAGAGACACAGGAAAAAACTTTAGTAACAGCAGGAAACAAAATAAACTAACAAAAAAACAGGAAACCATCTAAATATCCACCAGAAGAACTAATGAACAAAGGGTAGTCTACACATACAAGAGAATACTATATAGTAGTAAAAAATAAATGAACTATTACTTCCTGCAACAACATAGAGGAATTTTAAAAATAGTATCAGGTAAAGAAATCAAGTTGCACAAGCCTATGTAGGAATGACGCGGTATAAATCTAAAGTGGATTAGTGATGGCCTCAGGCTAGGAAGGGGTTGGGAGGGAATCAGAGTGACTGCTAATGGGTATGGACTGCCTTGATGGGATGATGAAAATGTTCCAAAATTAATTCTGCTGATAATTGTGCAACTCTGTGGATATACGAAAAACCACTGTACATTTTAAATTGGTGAATTAAATCTCAACAAAGCTGCCAAAAAAAAATGATGCCATAAAGTTCAAAAAGAAGCATAAGTAAACAACATACTATTTAGGATCATATGCACTTATGGTCAAATTATAAAGAAAAGCCAAGGAAGATTAACAGAAAAGTCAGGTTGTGGGTTGCCCCTAGGAAGGAGACAAGAGGATGATGCTGATGTGGGCCCACGGACGGGGGTCAGGGGCCCTGGGAAATTCATTTCTTAAGCTAGGTGATGAGTGTGTGGTTATTAATTTGTTACTATGTTTTATACTGAAACATATTTTATATATATATATATATATATATATATATATACACACATATAATTTTTAACCCCAAAATTTCATAACCAAAATAAATTTTTAAATGCCCCTTGCCCATTGTGTTTATATAAAGTTCATTTAAATAAATAATTGAAATGAAATCATTTTCTAGTACAACATTGTGTTATGATCATTTGTGTGTGAATGAGTATGAGAGTCCATACACTTTTTTTTCTAACAACCTGAATTTCTAGACAATTCAAAAGTTTTAAAAAATTTTTAGACTTTTTAAAAACTGTCTACGTAATGTACACCATGATGACTACAGTGAACACTGCTGTATGGTATATATGAAAGTTGTTAAGAGAGTAAATCCTAAGACTTCTCATCATAAGGAAAAAAATTCTTTTTATCTATATGAGATGATGGACATTAACTAAACTTACTGTGGTAATCATTTCACAATATATGTAAGTCAAATCATTATGCTGTACACCTTGAACTTACACAGTGTTGTACGTCAATTACACCTCAATAAAACTGGGGAAAAAATAGTCGAATATGTATGTTAATCAGGAAAATCCTACACGCTTTCAATGAACTATTCACAGTTGAAGTAACTCTTTTTTCCTTTATACAACTGTGTTTATTAGACAGAAACTGCATCCTGAAGGCGGTAATTTTACCTGTTTATCATTAACGGAGTGTTTTTCAATTTCTTTCTTTGCCTGCAGCAGTTTGTCCTGAAAGCAATAAGGAACAATTAGTTCTGGGGACTGTCCATCCGTCTGCTTGGTTTGTTTAAAAGAAGAGAAAGAGCAATTATTTGTACAGTATTTATCAAATTCTAGAAAACACACTAGGCTGCACCTATATGGCACAGCTACGGACCAGAGTCTGTTGATAATTCTAATAAATGTTTTGATCTAACATTATTTAGTTGTGATATAAAACAAGAACAACCATACTGATATGCAATGTTCCCCAAACTCGAGGGTTCGTGTGACTCTGTGTCAAGAGTGCTTTCCTAAGAGACTGTCCACTACCGTCCTCCTCTACCACAGACGCAGATACAGTAGAAATCACTTTTTAGGTGGACTTATGCCTGGCTGCTTTCAAAAGTCATCTTAAGGGGCGGGCCCCAGGGCCAAGTGTTTAAGTTTGTGTGTCCTGCTTTGGCTGACAGAGGCAGCGTCCCACACAGAGGAACTAGAAGAACCCACAACTGGGATATACAACTATGTACCAGGGGGCTTTGGGGAGGAAAAAAAAAGAGGAAGGTTGGCAACAGATGTTAGCTCAGGGCCAATCTTCCTAAAAAAATAATAGTAATCATCATCATCATCATCTTCAGACAGGCAAACCTAACTGTGTAATTGAGCTATTCTTCCAAGGTCCCAATTTTGCTTGTTTTACTCATTTTCAAGAAGACAGATATAAGTTTACAGCGTCTTAATTTGCTATAAAAGTTGTAATTTGTATACATCATGACAGCTAGAGAAGAACAAAAAGGGAGGGGAATCCTTCAGAAAGACACGTAGGTTTCCTAAACGTGAATGTGCCTACAATACAATTATATTATTCTGTTAGCAAAGGTATAAACAACTTGACTTTGCCAAAATTGGAATAAAAAATTACATTCGAAAATAAAGAATTTCTCGATGCCAGAAGGCTTGCCCGCTCATTCACTGCCAGCAACGCGAGGACCACAGGACAAGTTTCTGAGCTCCTGACACACAGGCCTCCCCTGCCTCCTTGTTCACCTGTCTCGTGTCAAATATCGGCATTGTTCAAATCTCACAAAACGCCATTTTATGAAAGCTGTGTTTTCATTCCCGTAAGGTGGCTTCAACGCCAAAGTAAATTCACTGTTAGAGAAGTCAGGGTATAAATAAAAGGTAGCTAATTCTCCCTTTCTTGATTTTTTTTAAAGAAATTATGGCTATTGAAGGCTAATTCTGTGTCATTAGTTGAACATCTGCCCCAGAGCCCTCCATGGCTGCCATGTCACTGGGCCCTGCTCAGCTGTCCACTCGCCACTTGGGCAGTCATCATACCATTGCCCTCCTTTTGCGGAGGGGAATCCAAAATCCCCAAGCAACGATGCCACGCTGGTGTTTCCATTCTCTCCATCACCCCTCCCTTCACTTCTTCATTCAACAAATATGTTTTGAGCACCCGCTACGGGACAAGCGTTATGCCAAGCGCAGAACAACGGCAGTGGACAAAACAGCCCTGGTCACTTCCCCCCACCCCACAGAGCAAGAGGACTCCACGACTGTTCCTGGGAAGACAGTGTCACTGCTTTGGGCCATGGAAACAACTCTGGCAAGAATAACAGACCCTGAAAAAAAGAAAAACAGACTTTGTGTTGACTCAGCAAAACAAATGTTTTGCTACACTGCTGGGGAACAGGGAGAGTTCCCTGTGGGGTCTGGGTTTCACCAGAAATCCGTATCCTGTCACAAGCAAATTAGAGAGAAACACCTACATAGCCTTCAGGACTCAGGTCTCAGCTCCCAGATCACCTCTGCGGGCACCCCCAGTGGGTGGAGTGCCCTCCTTGGCTTCCTGTGGCCAGGTGTGCTACCTACCTATGTCTTGGCCTCTCCTACCTCAAGATCTGCAGTGTCTGTGATGTTGCCTAATAGTTGCTGGCACTAAATAAATATTTATGGAGCTGACCTGATTTCAACCAAGAAGTCTTTGTCCTGAATACCAGAAATGACCAGTGGTTCAGGAATCACACCTCAAACCAGAGATGTTAGTGACTCCCAGTAAGGTAAGAAGTTTGTACAGCCTCTTCAGGTAATTTCAAGTGGAATTAGGGGGCTGGCCCCGTGGCGTAGTGGTTAAGTTCAATGCGCTCTGCTTTGGCGGCCCAAGTTCACGGGTTCGGTTCCTGGGCACAGACCTACACCCCTCATCAGCCAGGCTGTGGCAATGACCCACATATAAGGTGGAGGAAGACGGGCACAGATTTTAGTTCGGGGCTTATCTTCTTCAGCAGAAAATAAATAAAGTTGAATAAGTAAGTTGGTAATGACATACCTAGAAGACTTACCTCATTTCGTGCAACCAGAGTTATAAACGCTCCTTGTTTATAGCATTCAATAGCAACACACTTTCCAATGCCACTGGAGCCTCCTGTAACCTGAAAGCAAAAGTAAAACCTCTTCTTAGCACCTGAAATTTCCCTTCTGTGGGAAGTTTATTTAAAATAACTAGGAGGAGCTCTAAAAACCAATCTACTAGAACTAAATCTTTAGCTATTATAGCTTCTTCATCCCGGCCTGAAGGAATGAAATAAGTGCAAGCATGAAGGATTACGCTGTCAGCATGGCCTGCTGCTTAGACTGTTTTCAGTACTGAACAACAACTTGCACACCTATAATACTTTTCTGAGTTCACCGGAGGGAAAGGGCCCTATAAATCTAGTTCATAAAAATACATTAGCCTGCCTGTGAGTCCAGATCCAAATAAATCTTATTTCCTCATCACATATTTCCTATGCGCGACTAGCTCTACTAGAGATGAAAGGAATGGTCACCCACATATATCTTATGATCTTTTAAATGACTGCTTATTATAAAGTAATATATGCTCACATGGAAATATAGAGAAGTAAAGCTTTTCTTTTTGCACTATTCTATCCCTCACTATCTATAGCTCAGCCATACTGGCTGTTTTTCAGTTCTAAGCTCTCTCCAACCACAGGGCCTTTGCATATTCTATTTCCCATGCCAAGAATGCTCTCCTCCCCTCTTTTCATCTAGCTGGCACCTACTCATCCATCGAATCTCAGCTCAAACGTCACTTCGTCAGGAAAGCCTTCACTGACTGCCCCTGCCCCCACCTCAATCCACTTTTCAGCACTGCATCCTTTTTTTCTTTATTTTATGGCACTCACATAATCCAACAGCCATGCATTTACTTGTGTGCATTTATTTGATTCACTACCATCTCTCCTATCACTGCCTCATAAACTTCATAAAAATACCAACTCTGTTTTTGCTCCCCACTATATTCCCAGCACTTAGCACAGTTCCTGGCATACAGGAAGGACTCAATATATATTTAACTTAATAAGACAAATGCAACATGATCTTTCAAGTCATTTTCCCTACGCGAATTACATAATATGGGCCAGGGGAGTGGGGGCTGGGGTTGTCAGGTGAATGGGGAAGGGAAGTGTCAGAGAGGGCGCTGTCCTCGCATGCTTTGGTAGCCTACTTAAAAAAAAATTGTATCATAACGTCTTAGGTTAAAAAACTAAACTTCACAATATTGCATTAAACAGCTGTATGAGAACTTAACCATTTCCCTATAATCAGGTATTTCAATTATTTGGAATATTTTAATGTTAGATTTAAATCATGAACGTCTCTGACCCCACCCCACGATTTCAAATCACCATGACGCCCCTCCCACAGAATGTACCACCTCCATGGGACTCCTGGGGGTCTCCCCTACTTCTCTTTCGTCTCAACTTTCCACCACTGAAGAGATTTCTTTGGCGGAGAATTAACCAATTATCTACAGGTTACTGTAAAAATATACCTGTTGCCCTGGCTAATGGCTGCCTCTGAGGAGCTCTTTGCCATTGAGATATTCCATGGGTGGTTCTGGTTTATTCTTTTTCGCCAGACATTCCAGTTCCATCGCAATTAGCAGGACCCCTAAAATGTGCGGGCTGTTTTATCATGTTTTTCCCGCTGCCCTTTTATCATGTTTTTCCCGCTGCCGAGATGTGCAGTTACTTATGCACACATCTTAGCTCCCTCGCCAGACTGTCAGTTCCTTGAGGACCAGTACCAAGTCCAGTGTCTCGCCCTCATTCCTAGCACACTGCCTTGCACAAATAAATATCTGCCTATGTTAATTTGTAATATGTTGTATGATGCCCTTTCTCTGAAAGATACCACGCCAAAAAAATTTCCCTCTTTGTTATTCAATGAATTAATGGCAATTGAAGTTCTGAGGTTACTGAGAGAACTTACTTGCTGTAAGGTGCTCCGTAGATATTAGCTATTGTTATTATTGCTGTTCTTTTTCTAGACTGTAATAGGTAAGCTGGCTGTGTAAATTTACTGCACACGCACAGCAAAAAACTGTTCAACCTGGTCACTCATAAGATTTTTCCATAAGAACAAAAAGTAAGACAAACTTTTGAATCATGGTTCATGGGAAACAAACCTTCAAGTATCTAAGAATATACATAAGTCAATTCCAGGCTATGTTATTCTTGCATGTCACAAGAAAATATAAGAGATTTTCATAATGGCTAAGAAAAACAGCTAATATGTATTGAGTTGTCTGACAACTGGTAAATTGAGCCCAGATGTAGGCCACTAAAGATAACAGTTTAATGGCCTTTCTTTATCACTGACTCTTACTATTCATTGCAAATATTCTTTAAATATTACTCCCTCTTAATCACACCATACACCTCTAACTGAGGGCAAGAGAGAGGGTGGTTTGCTGCAAGGAGGGTTTCTCTCAGCCATCTCCAAGAAGCAAGGACTTGATTTTCCAGTTCTCACCAAGTCGATTAAACAGTTTTTTAAAAATAAGCCGATTTAAGTAAGTACATATCGTGTAAGACTTCAGCACAGTTTTACCACTGTAATTAGGAAGATAACACTAGTACATACGAACTGTTCTAAAAGCAAAACAATAAATAGCTATGACCTAAGTCTGTTCAGGCCTCCGCATAAGCAGACATTCTAAACAGTAACTCCCTCTCCTAACACAGCCCGGCCTAGTCCTAAGGAATCTCAAGAAAAAGAATTACACTTTCACTCTTCTTATGACATTTTTTTTACAGATGGTGACATCACGTGAATTATTCATGTCATCCTCACATTATTTTTAGTGGTGTATTAAAACAGGATGGTGAAAATAAATTCTTCTTGGTCTGTCCAAGCAGACTCGTTCATCATCTTACCTAGGGTGGCAAGCATTACAGTCAAGGTTAAATGAAATTCTTTCATAAATACTGACTCAAATTTTTCATTACTGCCTTTGGTTTTACCTTTTTCCAAGTTATGCTCTGCAAACATAAAAGAATCTGACTTTCAAAGCCATGCTTTTGAGGCAAGAGTTCTCTTGCGGATATGACACTTTCCTCTCTAATGAATTTATACTCACCTCCTCTTCTAGCTTCCACACCAGAAATAGCAGGAATTAGAAATATACTGATAAATTTACAAAGGAGAACTTAAAGAAAATGCGTTAACTCATTCACAAACTCTTGTCCAGATTTAAACCACACTAAAAGAAATGACCGTCCTGTCCTATCACAGCTCAGTAGGGCAGCTGGACCTCACCGGAGACACCCATATGTCACCTCCGGCACGAGGAGGATTTGTGTGCCAGCTTAGTAGCTAACTCTCCTTTTTCACAACCTCCAGCCTCAATGTGCCTCGGGGTTGTGAGATCCAAATAAAAAAACGGATGAGAAAGCCACTGCAAGAGGTGAAATGCTGGGTGCAGGAAAGGAGGCATTCTCCCTCAGTTTAAGATGCCACACCTGCAGAAAAGGGATCTCCGAAGGCTCGCGCTTCCACTAAGAAACAAACCAAACCCATGCACATCCCCTTCTTTCCTGAAGCACTGGCCAGGTCGCCCAGCTCATCCCTCTGACTCTGAAATGAAGGCAGACGGTTGCACTGAAACTGCAATCAGCCGACTCCGGGCTGAGCTTAGAAAGACAAGCGGTGTAGAGGTGACAGAAGCGTCCCAACACCGCTGGCCAAGACTGCCAGCCTGCTGGGTTCGGAGCAATTTTTCCCCCAGGTGAGTCACTTCCTGGATTCCTTTGGCAACTGCTCTTTCGGTCACTCACACAGGCCATCTTCCAGTTCCGAGCTGCCTCGGCGGGTCCTGGCGGCTGGGACCCCCTTCCCTACTGCCGCCTCCTCTCGACCCGGCCAGGACAGGGCGCCTCGCCCTGCACGGCCACCGACCGCGGTCTCCCCGGCAAAGTTTCTCAGCCTTTCTGTTCCTTAGTTGACTCATCGGGAAAACTGAGAACAAAAATATCCTCATCCCAGGGATGCCCCGGGGATTAAGGAGCGCTCCGGACCCCTGGACCGCCGGGACCCGGCTCGCTGGCGCTGTCCCCGCTGCCTCGCTCTCGGGCCCCGGGAGGAGCCAGGTGCAGAAGAGGGCGGGTCCCCGAGGCCCTCGGCAGAGACAGTGCCGGGCTGGACGGCGGCAGGTGGCCCTCCATTTGGAGAAAGGGACGTCGGCGGCCCGCCTGCTTCGCGGGCCGGCACGCCAGAGGACGGGCTCGGGGCGACCGAGCGGGCCGGGAGGGGGCGGCGCAGCAACAGGAGGCCACTCACCACCACATGCGCCCCGGGCAGGGCGAGGGGCTTGGGGCTGATGAGCGGCGACACCATGTAGAGCAGCAGCACGAACGCCACGAGGAAGGCGGCGGCCAGCAGCAGCATCGCTCGGCCGGGCCGGGGCGCGCGGGCTCGGCGCGGGGCTGGCGGCGCCGGCGGTCACGCGCGGCCCGCCCGCAGAAGCCGGCTGTTTGGGTTCGCGGCGCGGGGCGGGGCGGCGGCCGGAGGGGAAGAGGAGGAGCCGGCGGAGGGCGCGACCGCGGCGGGGCGGCGCTGTCAGGGGCGGGCGGCTAGGCCCGGGCAGCCCGAGCCGGTGGATCCGGGCTCCCCGGTGCCCCCAGCGTGGGGACAGGGCCCCGCTCCCTCCCTGGGGAGATGGGGCCTCTCCGACTGCGCAGCGGGCGAGCCTGGGCGGCCCCACCCGCGAGCGCCTCTGGCAGGGCTGGGGGACGCTCCGGGTTTGGGTCGAGGGTGCTTCTTAGGACCGCGGAGAGCAGGTGTCCAGACTTCCCCCAACCGCGCCTCGGGGGTCAGAACCGCTCCGAGCCTGCGAGTTCCGCCATCTCGCCGAGGGCCGCTGGTCTGGAGCTGCAGGAAGGGTTCCAGAGCATTCTGAACACAGGCTCTGGGATCGCCCGAGCTTGTTGCAATATGGAAGCCCTGAGATCCAGCTCTGAAATCCGGAGCTCCATTTCGGATTTTCGTGGCGTACTTAGAAAATGGTCACAGCCCACTTTCGCTTTTCAGAGGACCGAGAAAGCATTTAACACAGAGTTTAAAAAATCACCCAGATAATTGAATTTCATTGAACTCAGAGTTCATTTTCTTTGCCAAGGCAGGGATTAAAAAAAAAAAAAGCTTTGTTGACGTCTAATTCATATCCCTTATAATTCACCCATTTAAAGTTCATTATAAATAGTTTTTAGTATAGTCACAGAGTTGTGCAACCATCACCACAATCGATTTTAGAGCATTTGGTTACACTCAACAAATTCTGTACCCCTTAGCAGTCACTCCCCATTTCCTCCCAGTCCTAGGCAATCAACAGTCTTTCTGTGTCTATAGATTTGCCTTTTCTGGATATTTCATATAAAAGAAATTATGAAATATGTAGCCTTTTGTGTCTGGCTTCTTTCACTTAGCATAATGTTTTCAGGGTTCGTCCATGTTGTATAATGTGTCAGTACTTCATTCCTTTTATCACCAAATTATATTTCATTGTGTGGATATATCACATTTCATTTATCCTTTCATCAACTGATGGATATTTAGGTTGTTTCCACTTTTGGGCTATTATGAATAATGCTGCTGTGAACATTCACATACAAGTTTTCGTGTGAACATATGTTTTCATTTCTCTTGGGTACATATCTAGGAGTTGAACTGCTGCATCTTATGGGTAACTGTATGTTTAGCTAGGATTGCCAGACTGTTTCCCAAAGCAGCTGCACCATTTCACATCTTCACCAACAATATGAGGATTCCAGTTTCTCCACATCCTCACCAACACTTATCATCTGTCTTTTTAATAAAAGCCTTCCTTGTGAGTGAGAAGTGACATTTTATTGTGATTTTGATTTGCATAAGGTACGTAGTTTCGTTTGCTTGCTTGGTTTTCCTTTTGTTGTTTTTAGAAATACTTAGGAGCTCAGGAGCAAAGGGATTGATCTGAGTTTTTCTTCTTTCCTAACTTATTGCCCAAATTTAGACAAATTTTAAGGTTTGAGGCCACATCCCCAAGACTTCTGACACCAGTTGCAAGTTTGGGGTGTTCCCAAACCACCATCAGGTTTGATCATTCTCTCGAGGGGCTTATAGAACTCACTGAGAGGTATTATACTCATGGTTATGGTTTACAACAGAAAAAGGATACAGATCAACATCAACCAAAGGAAGAATTGCATAGGGCAGTCTTGAGGGCTCCAAATGCAAAACTTCTGCTATCATCTTGAAGCCAGCTACCTGAGGTTACTGTAAATATTCAATGAGAACATGATTACCCTTTGACCTTGTTCCCAACACACACACAGATGAAAAGAACTTAAGCTTGTTAATTTGCTGCTTTCTTGTTTAACCTGAGGGGTGACTCAAGGGTCACAAGGAGTTATGAACTTGTTTTGCAGAAGGGAAAGAATGCCTTTAAGGAAGTTACGATCACCAGATAACCAGCCTCCCGCTGCCATTGATGCCCAGAAGTCTGGTTGCCCAAGCTCTTATCTGGAGTGAAAGAAACAAGCAGTTCCCCTTTGTTTCTTCAAAACTCCTCCTCCCAACCCCCTTAGCTCTATAAAGACCCCCTTCTTTTTTCTTTCATTAAAGTGGATTTGAGAGAACTTATCCTCCCACCTTCTTGTTTTGGCCAATTTGAATAAATCTTTCTCCATCTCCAAGCACTAGTGTCTCAGCGATTGGTTTATTGCACATCGGGCACACAAAGTAGAGAATAAGTGGATCAGTATCAATCTTTGGTGGAGTCAGGACATGTGATCCTTCCAGCATAGGTGTGTGACAATATGCATGGAGTACTGCAAACCAAGAAAGGTCACCAGGGAAGCTTATCTGGTGTCCAGAGTTTTTATTGGGGTTTTATTATGTAGGCATGATTTACTGATTGCTCAGGTGGCTGTACTTTGCCTCCAGGTTGACTATTGACACATGACACAAAGCTTCCACCTATGTCACATGGTTGGTCTTTCTGCATAGCCAGTCTCCACCTTAAAATCCAGTTTGGCCCACCCTCATCTAAACAAAGACACTTCTAACAGGTATGACATGGATTACCTCCAGGAAGCCAAAGATAAAGACCAGACCTTCTCTTTGGGCAAGGCCAAATCCTTACTATGCAGGCTACCACCTGACCTTTATCCAAAGCTCTCCTACAGCAAAACAAACATATGCCTAACATTTGAAGGATTCAGAGTGGAGTAGGAGGCTCTTAACTCAATTTCCCAATGGATTTAACTATCAATATCAGTACTGCCATCTTACTGATAAGACAATGCCGGTGTTACACCATATCGCAGTATGAGTTGTAGACATAACCTGAAAAATAAGAGTCAAAAGATCGTAGCACATTACTAGAGTTTCACTTAATTGTCAAAAACTGGTCCGGCTCATCATCATATCATATGACCACAATGTCTCCCAAAGCAATGCCATTCAGGTTTGCAGGCTTCCATTCAACTCTAAGTCAGTTTCCAAAAACAGGAGTGGTCTTCACCCTTTCAGGAATCTGGCATAATTGAGCCCTCTTAAGAGACAATATCATCTTTCGCTCTGAGCCTCCCTCAAGGCATTAATGTCATACTGGATTTTCCTTGTTGCATAATCCCTTTTTTTTTTTCCAGAAAGCAGGCACTGTTCAAGCCTAGAAAGCTTATCTATGGTTTTTTTTTTTTATTGAGTTATTGATAGGTTACAATCTTGTGAAATTTCAATTGTACATTAATGTTTGTCAGTCATGTTGTAGGTGCACCACTTCACCCTTTGTGCCCACCCCCCACCCCACCTTTCCCTGGTATCCACTAAACTGTTCTTGGTCCATAGTTTTAAATTCCTCATATGAGTGGAGTCATACACAGATTATCTTTCTCTCGCTGGCTTATTTCACTTAACATAATTCTCTCAAGGTCCATCCATGTTATTGCAAATGGAATGATTTTGTTCTGTTTTGCAGCTGAGTAGTATTCCATTGTATATATGTACCACATCTTCTTTATCCATTTGTCTGTTGATGGGCACTTAGGTTGCTTCCACCGTAATCCATTTATTCATTGTTTTACCCTCAGCTACTATTACTTCTTTCTATTTGTGATTTCTTTTTACTCAGGCTTTTCCCTGTTGGAAGGGCCATTAGGTTAAGCCTAGTACTATGCTGTTCCAGATTGCCAAGACTGATACTAGTCTAGCAAATGCCTCCCCCTCAGTCCACTCCCGTTCATATAGGGTAGGGTAACAGGTACAACACTAGTGGGCTTTCTCAACCACTAGGCAATACAACTGCATTCACTATTAATCCCAATTTTGCCAGATTAGCAACAGCGTAATCCATGCCTTCAGCCTCTTAGGAATTCTGGTATAAAGGTTTAAAAGTAGAGTTACAGTTTCTTCCTTAGGGGTCATCCTGGTTCCAGCACCCACGGTTGAAGCCCTGGTCCTTGGGACTACTGCATCAGGTAAAAAAATAAGAAAGTTGAGGTGATGTGGAGAAAAAAGTATAGTCGTACCACCATTTTCTCTCCTGGCCAGAACTGCAGAGTCATACCAGCATTCTCCCCCATCCCTTCTCCTCCAGATCCCCCAGAAAAGTGGAGAAATCTATCTAATGGGGACCCCCCTTGGTCCCCCTCACAGTGAATGTGAGCACACACTTAGTGTGTAAGTCTTTCATGCCTTTATCTCCCTCTTCCTGTTTTAGTCAATAAATGTTCAAATGCCCGTTCCAATTCTCCACTAGACCTTTACTCTGAGGGTGATAGGCAACATCATACGTCCGTTGGAAGTGATATCTCTTTGCCCATTGTTGGACACTTTGGAACCTGAAGTTTGTTCTTTGATCTGAAGAAATGTCACTCAGAGGTCCACAGTGCTGCAATAGCTTCTGGTCCAGTCCTCTTGTTTTTAAGGGGAGGATTTGCCCTGAGCTAACATCTATTTCCAATCCTCCTCTATTTTTTTTCTCCCCAAAGCCCATGCATGTTTATCGTAGTTGTAAATCCCTCTAGTTCTTCTACGTGAGCTGCTGTCACAGCATGGCATCTGACAGACGGGTGGTGTGGTTCCACCACCAGGAAATGAACCTGGGCTGCCGAAGCATTGAGAGCGCCAAACTTTAACCACTAGGCCATCAGGGCTGGTTCTGGTCCAGTCCCTTTATAGTATTTTGAGCATTTGCATCTGCCTCTGGGCATGCAAGGCCCAGTCCAAAGTGCGTCTATTCCTGTCAAGGCCCATTTGTAGCCTCCACGGCTATTAGCATCGGTTGAACTGCCAGCTCTTCTCCCAGGGGAATCTGCCCCATAGCCATCTGCAGCCTCTGTGGTTCTTGTTAGCAGACAGAAAAGTTCTTATTGGCTCTTTGAGCCCCAGAGGGTCCAAGAAGACAATGTTTAGACCATCCCATCTCTGCATTGCTGCGGCCCCCATATCCACTCATTTCCTAGACCCAGGG